CACACCTGCATTAAGGAGGGGATTGATTATTATGACTCTTCAAATTTAGCCTTTAACTGATGCTTGTATTTTCAGTATAGACCTATTAGTTCACCATACTCATCTTTCATTTAGTTATGTCGTTTTTGAAAGCAGCAGCGCAGATTGAAACTGACTCATATGACTTCAGTCAATGGAGAGGTGTGTAAAGTGGGGAGGGGGTATCACAAGAGAACCCAGTTATTCATCACTAGCACAAGTTTTCAACAGATTTTTTTCTCATTTGCAAATCTCACTTCACTAGCTCACTAAGTTTCTTACAAAGCTGATAGGCTATTAATAATGATCTGAGACACATGTCCCCTACTCATAGGATCAGATGTGTGAAATAAAAGTTCAAAATCTCACCTCAGGAGTCTAATCTGCTCAGTATTCCATCAGCGAAGGTCAAAATATTTATATGCATCCTAAGTCCCTTGAATTTAATTACCTCACAATTTCACGAAAGTGTCAAACTGTTCTCTAGTCCTAAACATGTCTTAGTTTTTTGATTTGCATGCCTATATGCAGACAGATGCAAGACAAACATTTAAGAACCACTGAGGTGGAAAATCTAACCACTATCTTGCCCACAAAGGTAGAAAATTCACTCATTTTAAGTAAAAGCACCATGCTTATCATCTTCCTAAGTTCCACCAGAGTAAGGCTCTGTTTACTTCACTGTCATATTCCTAACACCAAAAATGGTGCCTGGCACACAGGAGGTGCTCAGTAAGTACTGCTGGATGAATGAATGGTCCATGACAGATCCTGCAGGGCAGCAGAAAAAAGAGGAAATGAGCAAGACTTTATTAAGCCAAAAACTGTCTTCAATGCATCCTGTGACCACTATCCTTTAAATAGGAAACTAGTCAATTATATACATGAAAATGATTTTATATATGTAGTTACAAACATGAGTTATAGATAGGAAGATAAGATTTCATGTAGAAATCACTGAGCTTCCTAATGTGAAAGGGGAAGTATGTCCACGAAAATAGTGTGTGTTGGTGGGGGACGTTTACATACAAAACATTTCTCATTTTACATAGAGCAATTCAGTAAAAGGTAGTAGCAACTGAAATTTTAGCTGATCCCAACCCTAAGCCCCAAGTTTTTGGTTGTACTTTCTACCCATAAACCAATCACTTAATCACACAGAAAAACAGGCAACTAAAGGAATCACTTGTAGCAGCATCTTTTTCCTGGGTTTACGTTCTTTCCCTGTACTCAAAAACATTTTAACTGATAAGTGTTTAGCCCAATTTTGTGTCAGCCTAATGCCATGCATATAATACAAATATGTACTAGCAGTCTCTAAGTTCAACCAAAAACAAAAACCCACTCCTCATTGCCTGCGTGCAGGCTGCAGATTCACCATTTGTGAATCACCCTGGTCTGCGGAGACCGACACAGGAAGAACAGTGTTCCCAGCACTGAAGTTCTACAGTCATGCTACTGGCTGCGCCTGCCCAGGCTCCGACTCACATGTCCTACTGCTTTCAGTCCTGACAGCCAATCAGAGAGTAGGAGCTACGATTACTTTTCCCTTTTGGAGATGAGAAAACTGAGGTTCACAGGGATACAATGACCTGTCCAAGATCAGTAAATAAAGGAGTCAGGATTTCAATGCTGTTTGCCAAAAACAAGGCTTAAAAACTAGGATGCCGCCTCTTTTGAACTTGTACTGGCTTTATCTAATCACCTTCTGACCAAAGTTCAATCATGGCTTTTTTTGATACTCAAATTTATACTCAAATAAATAACACCTTTCTTTCCAAAAGGGGGAAAATATATGACAACTCTCCTGTCCAAGGAGGCAAATGGTCCTTCTTGCCCACAGACATGCTAACTTAGAAAGCTCCTGGCCCAGTTCCAGCTGTGTTGTGTACAGCCCCCCAGGAATCATGTTTACTAAAATAAATAGTCTGGTGCTCAGGATGAAAAAGAAAGGAAAGAAAGTAACCTACAAAAGTGTATCTTTTTGTAATACTAATTCAATGTATTAGTACCAATATCCCACACTGGAGCAAATGAGAGGTACCTCATCTGTGAACCTACCATGAGTGGGCCATCTTTCTACCCATGAGAGGCCAACAGCGGGGCCGGCTCCACCGAGAATGATAGAAGCATCCTCCTGCGTCCTCCCCAAAGCTCGGTCCTCACCCTGGACTGTGGACTTCAGAGCAAGGCAAATGGGCAAAGAGCAGGTTTGAGGGTCAAAGAGCTTGAGTTCCAATCCTGACTTCAGTACCACTTATTAACTATGTAAATGTGGACAAAGTTTTTTTTACTTCCAAGATCTTCCATCTCCTCCTGGCAAAGGGAAGTATAATATCTGTCCTAAATGGATACTGGGATGGGGTAACAGGGGAAGCGCTAACCCACCCACCTCCTGGTACACCGCAGACAGATAACAGGTATGAAATTTTCTTTCCCCACCTAAAGGGCCTTCTTCACTAGCGTACTGGAGTTGACTCACACTGGCTTGCAAGAGATGCCTATAAAATTTTCAGGAATTTTGCAAGCCAATTATTAAATACAGCCTTTATTGAAAATTAAATTATATAAACTTAAAATTAAAGAAGTCAATTAAACACAGGCAATACATACTCAAGAGCTCACCATTTCCTCATTACTTTACTTCATTTACTGTTTTCTATGCTCTTGAGGTTATTTACGCTTATTGTCTGTTAAGCATGGACCTCGTATGGGGGGCTCTGGCTTATCCCGCCCAATCCACGCTCAGGGACGTCACACTGGTAGCTTGAAATCCTCGGTAGCAGCATCAATGTACATGGAAACTAGCAAACACTCCACGCCAGGATTTCTTTTCTTTGCAGAGCCAGTCGGTAAACATTTGCTAGCTAACCACTGTTATTCATATTTCATCTTATCCCTTTGTGCCCCAACATCTTTCATCTCTTTCATCTCCACAAGTTACCTACACATATACACACATCATTACAATGAAAACAAAAATTGAAACAAAACACCCCTCTAGGTAACATCTTTCCCCCTCTTTCCTTCATTATCATATTTACTGAAAATGTTCTTATCTGTGCTTACTTAATTCTCACCCTATCTTACCATCCACTCATTAATTTATTCATTTTGCAAATATTCTAGCAACTGCTATTAGTCAGACACTAGGGAAGTAACCTGGGATGCAAACATGAGCAGAACCTGATTGGTCCCTGCTCTGTGGGATTCACAGTCACATTTTCCAGTCCCACCTTGAAATCCTCCAATGCTCTAACTCCCGTTTTTTTCTCCCCCTTGGCCTTCCTTAAAAAAATGAACAATCCCCCCAAATACTCTGTCTTCTTTTCCTCCTTGGCCCTCTACAGAAAAATCTGGATTTCCTCACTGTTTTGACTGTTTATCTTCTTTCTTCCTGAGGAATTTCACGCATTACTATGATTTCATCCTCCCTCCAATTCTCAGAAAACCAATTTCTCCCCTCGCCCTTCCAGCTCAGTAACTAACGCCACCATCCACCCAACTATTCAAGCCAGAAACCCACCAAGCCTCGTTTCCTGCCTTGTCCCACCCTCACCCCAAAACATCAGCAAGTCCTGCTGGATCTGTATCCAAAGACCACAAGCCCCCCACATCTCTGCACCCCAGGCTCCATCACATTCAGCCAAGTCTGTTCTATTTTTCTTTCTTTTTTCTTTCTCCTGGTACAAAAGGTTCCTAATCCTTTTTTCCGAACTTCACTCTTTTCCCCTAACATCGTGCACTACAACAAAGCCAGTGTGAATGTTTTCAAAAAGAAATATAATCACTTCTCTCCACACTTAAAAAAAAACAAAAACAAACTCTCTGAAAGTCTTCCCTTTCTACTCAGAATAAAATCCAAACTCTCCCCGTGTGGACGCGGCCCTGCCCACCCCAGCCTTGCGCCTTCCAATCCCAGCTTGCTCAGTGCCTAAGTCTGGACCCTCTGCCCAGAGCTTCACAGCACCAGCTGCTTCTCTCATTCACTAGCATTCAGGAGGCCCTCCCTGACCCATCAACCTGAATGTGCGCAGGCCAAGCCGATCTGCCCCTTTCTGTCACATCATCTGCTCCCTGTTGGTTATTTAATGTCTGTGTTCCTCCGCTGGCAGGGAAGCTACACAGGATAAAGGACTTTGTCATCACTGTTCCCCAGGACAAACCTGGTGTCTTGATCAGTGGCTGGCATGTGGTTCATATTCAACAGACACTTGTTGATGAACAAACACAGCAAGACCCAAAACACAGGCAAGGCGGGAATGATCAGAAACAAAGACACTGGAAAGAGTTTTCTGGGGCTGCACGGAGAGCAAGGACAGCAATCTGAATTGGCAAAGTGCTAATAATATGAGGCTCATTTCCATCTTTATTAAATTCTGGCTTGCCTATGGCTTGAGCTATTTTAGAGGCAACCTAATTTAGTGAGCACCTGTTCTGATAAATCTATGTTAATTTTCATTAGGTCAAAACAGTCAAAAAAGAAAGAAAAATCCTACACGTTAAAGGAGATAATCCTGCAACCTCAGGAGCGTTTCTGAGAGGCAGGGCCCCCTGGGCTTCCTCGTGTACTTGTGCGGTGATAAACTCCTATTACACACAAGGAGCAGAGGGAGAGACAGAGCAGGGGTGGGGGGCGCTCTCCCGGCCCCACAAAGCCGGGGGCGCCCGATCTCCGACAGCAAGGTTCTTCCATCAGCAAAGCACTAGAATGTTTGCCCTTCATAACTGAGAAGTGAGGTTTCTCACGGCTCACGCCCTGCTTCCAGGCCACAGCAGGCAGCCAGGCTTCTGCCCGCTTCTAGCTACTACTCCCTGCTTGCCTGATCTAAATGCTGCGGAAGGGGGAGAGGAGGAGGCAGGGAGGACGGGGGAGGCCACAAAGAACCTGCCGGGCTTCGCTTGGCCCGCCTCCCACACTGCAGTGGGTGACGCTGCGTGGTGGACACGCGCACGGTCAGGAGCCCAGCCCAGCCCAGTACCTCATCATGGACCACACCGCCCGAGGAGACGCGGGGAATCCACTGCTCTTCGGCTCTGCTGGAGACGAGGAGGGGCAGCCCCCCCAGGCCCCTCGGTGGGCCCGCTGCTGCTTCCCATCCTCCCGGAGAGGGTGCGCGGGCGGCAAGGAGGGCTGGGCGCCCCCGGGCTGCGGCGGGCTGCGCTGGCGGATCACCCCGTTGCTCCTGATTGTGCACAAGGAATTGAGGGGAAACTGAGTCAAACAGAATGACAAGGCGTGCCACCAGGAACAGCAGGCCCCTGGCCCACCCCCAAGCCCTGCTCCCCGGAAGCAGCCATTCTCAAGTCTTTTCAGCTCTTTTGTTTCTGGTATGGACCACAGTATTTTTAAAGTAACATAATTATGTATTTTTTGAATTTTAGAACTTATCACATGACTTCCTACTACAGAAGACCAGGACTTAGTCACTCTTACCTGTTCACCAACACACACAGACATACACACACACACACACACACCCTCTGTTCTTCACCCCTCAGCCTCCAAATGTATTTCTCTTATAATATTTACTTGAAGTAGTATTCAGGATTTACAAAACTTTTATATAATGCTCCTCATAATCATCAATGTACTCTGATTTACATTTTTCTTTCATAGCCACTGGATGGGCAAAAATGGAAAAGTCTGATACTACCAAGTGATGGCAAGAACGTGCAGTGAAGGGGATTCTCAGACACCACTGCAGACATTCAAGAGCAAAGTCTCAGCATGTGACATAGTGAACATGCATCTGTGACCCCAGTGACCCCTTCTGAGGTTATGCCCCGGAGAAACCCATATGTATTTGCACAGGAAAATCCATCCTAGCATAGTTTATAACAGCAAAAAATGTGAAAATAATCTAAATATCAAATTTAGAAAAATGGATAAATTAACGTGATCATTAAATGCTGCTATACACAGTTAAAATGAATGAACTACAGCTACATGTATCAACTATATCTCAAAAGCCCAACATAAAATGAAAAGTAAAGCAAGTAGTACCATTTATATGAAGTCTGAACATAGATAAAATAATACTAATTTGATTTTAACTGGTATATAAACATGAAGTGTTGGCATAAAAATAATGACAGAAATAAAAAGTGCCAAATTCAGGACCATGGTTATTTCTGGAGAGAGTTTAGGGATGAAGATCACAGAATGTTATTCTCTGCATGTTGGAAATTATATCCTAAGGAAAAAAAAATTTAACTTCAAGGAGCTGATCTTTCACTGAAAATTAATTCATAAAGGTGATGTCAAAAAAGGAATCCCACATCATTCATGTGGCCCAATCTTAAAATTCAGGAGTAAATTGCTCTTCAATAAACTGGAATGAAGTACTTCCAACATTTGTTCCTGCTTCTTTCTTGCTGCCCAAATCATACAATGAACAACCTTAAGAACACCCTAGTGCCAAAATGTCTCTTCCAAATTAGCAGATTAGGTGGTAGGGAGGCCCCTGAGAATTCATGCAAAACTCTGTGTATGTTATTCTGGGAAAACGGGACACAATTTCTAAGATTCTCCAACAGGTCATTACCCGCAATACACTCAACCTCTGAGCTAGTCTCATGGTGCAAATGTGAGGCCAGGCCCTGAGCAGCAGTAGTCCTGCGAAGTCCCAGGTCCCTGTCCTGTGCACCTTGCATGGAAGCAGGGGAGCTTCAGGGCTAACTCTGTGTTTCTGCAGTCACACACACAGGGGTCCAAACCCAGGTTCCACTTGGGGTTGGATGACTCAGTAGGTTACTTTGAGTGCCTCTCTTTCTCCTCCAAAAAATGAAGGTGACAGTTGTCGTGGGCATTAAGTGTCTTCATTCACGTAAATGGCATCACAGCACAGTGTCTAGCACATGGCCAGAAATCAAGAGAGAGCAGATGTTATTGGCCAGGTCTCGCTGTTCTCGGTTCCTTCTACCACTTTTCACAACTGTCAACAGCTATTCATGCAATTACTTACGTAATCTCTGTCTTTCCCAGTAATGGACATGCTCTTTGAGGGAAGGAATCTTATCTCTCATTCTTGGCCAGGCACAGAATGTGTATGTGTTGAATGGGTGGATAAAGGGATTACAGGAAGAATGGAATTCTCCACTTACACAGAGCTGCTGGCTAGGGAACTAAAAGTTACTAAACTTCTGGTGCTGTAGTATGACGAAGGTCAAGAAGGATTACTGAAGGAATAAAAGAGACAACTTTTCCTTTTGAAAAAATCCTGGCTCTGTGGTGATGGGTCTGCACCCACCAGGGCGGGGGGTCTGCAGCCAGCTGTCACTTCTTTCCGCTGATAGTGAAGCAAAGCAGAGAGAAGTTGGGAGGCAGATAAAAAGAGGACGCAAGACAGAAGTGGAAGCGAGAGGGGTAGATAAGCTGTTCTCTAAAAAGAAAGGCGAGCAATGCGATTACTCCCACTGAGGTTGAGCACGTAGAGGAAAAACATTCTCCTATGAGCTGATAGGAGGTCCTCTGGCTCACAGCTTCTTGGCAGGAGCTTGGGTCAAAAGGATAACTGGGCTACTTCCTTTTACACCTCTGAGACTCAGAGAACCAACACAGCACTAAAGCCTACTTGAATTACCTCCAAGCACACCCAGGCAGGAAGGGGATCGGGATTTAAGGACTCATCTCAGCTCGCTGCCACTCAACAGCACTGCTCCTCCTTCCATGTCAAGAAGTATAAAGAGGCAGGGAACGGGAGAAAAAGGCAGAATGTTCTTAAAGATAGAATTCTTCATGGGACAAGGCAAGAGAATGAATCAACCACCTTTTTCAAAAGTTCAAAAGTAAGGGCCTTATAATTACTGAAAAATGGGGTCTGCATGTCAAATTGTCAGTAATTATGGATTTGATAGATGAAGAAAATGATAATATGTGCTTGACCTTTTAATACGCCTTCATCATCCCTATCATCAGTAATTCACAGGATAAAAGGAATGTGTCTAAATTTTTAAATGAAAACTGGCTACTCAATAAACTTACTATTTCATTTGAATATGACATGTGAGTATCCCTGTAAGATCCAGACTGGCCCTTTATGGAATTCCAAAAAGTGACTCCAAAACTCTTAGGTAACAGCATCATTCCTAGAGGAAGTAAGCGGAGTGTAATTCAGCAGCGCCTTCTGATGGATAAAACCCATCTGAATACAGAGATTTAAGGCAAGCTGTTAAAAAACTGCTACCACTTGTAACCAATCCTCTGGGTTAATCAAGATTTCTCAGTAGTATGTAACCAAAACAAGCTAGCAGCATAAACTTGCGATTAGCATAGTTATTTCTCAATTCCAAATTTGGGACTCACAAAAACTTTATAGCCCTCACTGATCTTTTTAAAAGTGTGAAGAGTTTGAACATATATAAAATGCACTGATCTCCATGCAATCAGCCTTATTACGGTCTAAGGTGAAGTTACATTTAACAAAATGTTCCACTTCTAATTTTTAATGAAAACTGGAAAACTATTACATAATTCACTCTGCCCATGTACGGCTTGATTTCGGAACTTTCCAACAACTTACGGTTTCTCTTGCTCGTGGGACAGGGAGAAGAGATCGTACACCAGGCACACTCCGAACACCGTGATACCCGTCTCTTTGACCAGCATCGCACACGTCCCCAGGAACAAACTGAGCAGCAAGAAGAAGGGAGAGGCTGTGGGAGGGAAACGCTCCCCAACACCGCACCGCTCCACACTCCTGAAAGGCAAGGTCAGGCTTATTTCACTCCAAGAAGAAGCATAGGTCACTAAGACATTCCACCTTGTAAAGATAAGCTTTGACATCAATTTCATTCTATTCTAAGAAGGTGGGCCAAGATTTCTTCAGGAATGATCACAGAATTATTTAAAACTGCAAAGATGGAGACAAGGAAATGCCCAACACTATTGAATTTGGCACTTAGATTCAGGTGTTACTACAGCATGTAACAAATGAACACTAAACAGCCCTTTAAAATGCTACCACAGAGATATTCTTAGTTACATGGGTGATGTTTAAGGGAATGCATTTTAAGTGACTAATGCAGGTAACTAAGCCGCATGCATGAACTCTGGGGCAAAGGCTCACATCGCATCTCTGCAGTTAACGTACAGCGTCCAGGTGGGCAGGTTATTTTGCCCCCGTGTCTCAGTTCCCTCATGTGTGAAATAGGATCACGGTGTTGAATGCAGCATTAAATAAATGACACATTGCACATCAGTGTTTGCCATTGTTTCAGGGGAGGTATTTTATATGCTTCTCTACATAAACCAAAGAAGTCAGTGGATAGATACCAATATATAATCGTCATTTCCCTCTGTGACGAAAATACACATTTTAGGCTTTTTGTTTTCTTCTGGCTAGTTTGTATTTTTTAATTTATTTTTCATGTGGATGCATTAGGCATATTTTTTTTCTTCAGTATAATTTCCAGCAGGGTTTTTAAAAGACCCTCCAGGGCTGTAAAGTTTTCTCCCCACTCACGGAACAGAATCAGCTCACACCAAAAAACATCACTGTTCACTTCAGCAGGCCCCATACTCAACTGCTCCCGCGCCTCTGAAGCGAAGGCCCATATTTCTATGGTTGTGGCATCTTACTCTTACTGTTACATCTTGGAGCAACTGCCTAAAATTATATGCCACATGTACAGTAGGTATGCATTTTTCTCTGAATCTGGTCTACAGCTTAAATTGCTAAAAATGAGAATGCATGCACAACAGAACCCTGTACTGAGCTGGCTCATGATCACAGATATGGATGCACTGCGGGCCTAATCATGTTCCTAAATATATCAACCACACAGAAAAGGCCCAAGAGACTAATTTACACTAAAAAGCAATTGTTACTCTTGGTCTAACACTAAAGTAAACAGGAAATAACTAACTGTGGACTTGGGGTTGATATTTTTAAGATTTTCACACCACTGGTTCATGACTAGCAATGGAAAGGAAAGTCACAAAGCCAGGACTTCGTGCTGTCTGGTACTTTACCAAGAAAAGGTTCTGCTCCTTAACCCAAAACTTCATGAGAATTAACTCATTTCATTCTTGGACATCCCAGGTGTAAACTGGCTTGCCACAGTCTCCCAGTCTCAGTACAGCTGGCATTTGGGGGCAGGTGACTCTTCACTGGAAGGGCTGCCCTGCACAGGGGGAGGGTCCTCGGCCTCTGCTCGCCAACTGCCAGCAGGGCCTTGCCACTTGTGACAGTGAAAGGGTCTCCAGACACTGCCAGACACCCCATGGCCAGGCAGCAAAACTGCCCCATACTGAGAACCGCTGGTTTAGGACGGGGTTCCTCGGGGTCACTGGGCCTTGTAACTTTACAGGTCAATGAACTAATCCACATATCAAAGTTCACCAATCCTGAACTTCCTTGAGGCATCCCTTGACATAGGACAGCATGGTTCACTTGCCAGCCCCTTTCCTGGGCCAGGCACTGAGCTGTCTAGCCCCATCACATTCTCTTTCTGACCTGTCCCTTTTCCTATGTGGATGTCACAACTCAGGTGAGAATCTCATTGCTCTGGGGGAATGGAGCCATAAAGGGAAAATATTTTACTGCTCTTCAGTCTCCCAAAGCAAGGAGCTTCTGTATTTGATGAAAGGATGTGTAAACTGGAAAACCACACTTGAGAAATACTACTTCCAATCCAGCCTTGTTACTTTAAGCTCTAAGCTCCTTTAATGAGAATGATAAAGAGGGAAAAAAACTGGGGACCAAAACGACAAGGAGAAACTGAGCACAGCAGGCAAACAGCAGAGAGGCCCAGACCCGGTGTTTCTGGCTCAGAGTTAACAGTCTAAACTCCATTCTCATAAGGGGCATCAAGATGCAAGAGCTTGTCTCATGAGCACTGGGAGAGGAGTCCCCTGAAAAGCTGGTGGCCTGGTCAGAACGAGGCCAGGGGAGGGAGCAGCCTGGCATCCAGTAAGGAGAGGCTTCCTGTCCCTGGTCTCCACGGAGCTCTCTGAGCGCTTCACCACCAAGAAGACCCCCTCCTCTCCCAGGAAGGTGTTCACACACACACACACACACACACACGCACACACACAGAGCATACAGTCTACACACACACATACAGAGCATACAGTCTACACTCACACATACATACAACACAGTCTACACACACACACAGAGCAGTTTACACACACACACACACAGAACATACACAGTCTACATACACACAGAGCATACACTCTACACTCAAACATACAGAGCATACACAGTCTACACACACACACATACAACAGTCTACACACACACATACAGAACATACAGTCTACACACACAGAGCATACACTCTACACTCAAACATACAGAGCATACACAGTCTACACACACACATACATACAACAGTCTACATACACATACAGAACATACAGTCTACACACACACAACAGTCTACACACACACATACAACAGTCTACACACACAGAGCATACAGTCTACACACACACACACACACACACAGAGCATACACAGTCTACACACACACACAGAGCAGTTTACACACACACACACACACACACACATCCCTGGGGAACAGCATGACTGGAATCGCAGAGGCCTTTCTTCGCCATACGTACCTGTTGTAGGAGAGAAAGGCCAACAGAAAGAGCAGGCACGCTAACACATCAGCTCTGCCAACAATTCCAGCCACCTGGGAAGTTTGAAAAAATAAATACCTCAGCAAATTTCTTTCAGAACACCATTACAGAAGTTGATTCATTTTTAGATGAATGAAAGGTATAAAACACACTATTCTTCAAAGTCTGAGATATGACTGACCACCTCTGGCCACCATACATATTTAATGAGAAGTTAATAACAGGAGGGAAAGGGGCCAGATTTTCATGCTTCATTTTTAATCTTTCTTCCACAGACAGTCAATTCATCAACTGAAAGTTCATTCATTCATTGGTTTATTCACAAATAGTTTTTGAGACATGACTGAGTGCCAGACACTGAGCTCTTTGGGCACAGGAATGCAAATGGAGCAGAGGAAATGTAAGTTGAAGAATCAATTCTGGTGAGAATGGGAGTGAGCAGGAACTCATGACTGCTATAGGCGAATGTAGAGAGTGAGTGAGTGAGTGAGTGAGTGAATGAGTGAGTTATTTTCATGCTTCATTTTTAATCTTTCTTCCACAGACAGTCAATTCATCAACTGAAAGTTCATTCATTCATTGGTTTATTCACAAATAGTTTTTGAGACATGACTGAGTGCCAGACACTGAGCTCTTTGGGCACAGGAATGCAAATGGAGCAGAGGAAATGTAAGTTGAAGAATCAATTCTGGTGAGAATGGGAGTGAGCAGGAACTCATGACTGCTATAGGCGAATGTAGAGAGTGAGTGAGTGAGTGAGTGAGTGAATGAGTGAGTGAGTGAGTGAGTGAGTGTGTGTGTGTGTGTGTGTGTGTGTGTGTGTAGATTAGTTTTGTCACTGAAAGGGCCTGAAAGCAACATATCCCAGTAGCAAATGGCCATCCTACCACAAGCCTCCTCCACTGAAGAGGACCTGGGCTCCGTGGACAGCGGCTCAGTGCAGGCTGAGGCTGAGGCTGAGAGGACAGGAGAGGCGCTGGCTCACCCTCTCATGTTAGTAAGTACGAAAGTGCTCAGAAAATGACAGGCACATATCAAAAAGACACTGAGGCTGGTGACAAGGGGCCCCCGCTGAGCAAATGTGAGACAATTTAAATGTCAAAGTGAATAAGGACAGTGATTAATTAAAAAACATTGAAAAAATAAACATTAAGTGCATGCTGATGGTATATATATATACATGGATGGATGGATGAGTACACATGACAGTACGTGCATGCATACAGCAAGTGAATGGGAAAGAACAGAGCTCTTCCTTACATTAAAAAGCCAATTAATTAATCAATGTGGAGGGAGTGGTGCAGTTGGCATACAGCCCTTTCCTTCCAGAAGAATAAACATAGGATGGAGCAAGAAACATCACAAAATATCAATGGATGCTAAATTTAGGGTGTGAAAGTTTGATGAGGTGGAGTATTTTCAGGGCTTCAAAACATTTCCTTCCCAATTACTTATGAGCTGAAAAAAAAGAAGAATAATTACACTATGGAGAAAATGCATCACGTTGTATTACACCTTGACTGGGCAATCAAACGTCACATCACCAATAAAGGGTAAGAGGATGGGACGTGCCTCTGTATGTGATACCCTGAGAAGGACACGATATTATTTGTGCAGTATTCCAGCCATGGATACACAGCCTAAATATAATCCTGAGGGGACACCAGACAAACCCAGCATGAGGAACATTCTATTAGAATATACAAACATGTTTTATATAAAGTATAAAATATAATAATTCTGTATTATTTATGACACTAAAGTTTTTTGCTTTAACATATTCTAATTTATATTAGACTATGGTTCAGTAGTTATATTACAATACATTATAATCTATAATATTGCATGTATTATTATATACTACAGGTATAGCATACTTATGTAATATACTATATATGCATATATGTATATATATTTTTGTTATATTTTATGTTTTTACATTTTGCTATATTGTGTTTACATATATTTATATTATGCTTATATTTTATGAAATTTAGATGTATTATACATGTAAATCATGTGTTATAAATTATATAATATATTTATATATTTGTTACATAACAGCATGTTTATAACATTAGTGATTACATTATATTAATAACATTTTGTATTATACACATCCTGATATAATTTTTAGATTATATTTAAAGCTATAAGTTATATTACAGAAGGACAATGGTAACTGTTCCAAATTTAAAGAGACTAAAGAGAAACTATGACTAATGGTCTTGGTTTCAGGAAATATACAACTAAATTATTAACATTTAAAGGAGCATGAATTATGCAACCTATTCTCAAATGCTTCAGAGAACAAGTAATGTTTTTATGTATTTAGAGAGAAAAAGAAGCAGGAGAATGAAACAAATGTAGTAAAAAGGTAAAAGTTAGTGAATCTGGATAAAGGGTACATGGTTGCTTTATTTCTTAAATGTGAAGTTATTTTTTTTTAAACGTGTGAACTTCAAAAGGGACTAAAATGGAAGGGGGTGAGGGACAGACAGCTATTTATAAATCTTTGCATTACTTTACTACTTAAAATGTGTGTGAATTTCTCTTAATTTTTTGAAATCCAAGAAACACAAGTATAAAGAAAAAAAAGGTGGGGGTATGGACCAAAGAATGCTTCGTAAAAGAGGTCACATATGAGCTGGATCTTAAAGAAGAGGGAAAGTTCACGAGGGGAAGGAACAGGGCTGACATTTCAGGCATAGAAACAGCATCACCGAATCACAAAGGACTGGCATGTGTGCACGGGGTGTCAGAGAATCAGACAGTATATAAAGGAAAATGGTTTTCTGGGAAATATTCCTATAAATATCCTCTTGTAGTGAGCACACTCTGCAGTCAGAAAGGAGACGTAATGACGCGTGCACGTGGCTGGAATATAACCCCTTCTCTTACTCTCTGGGGCTCAATTTTGTTACCCGTGGTTTCTGAGATTCGGTTTTGTCTTCTGTAAGGTCTGACGCCCGCTCCCTTGTACTGCTGTGACAGTCAGTGAGGTGGCTTCAGTCAAGTGCCCTCCCCACGCTGGTTCCCACTTTCTTCCTTTTTCCTGCACACGAAGCGGGCAGCACTCTCGGCCCTGACACAGGTATTCCCACGTGGCTTATGGAAACCATCTCTTTACTTTACAGTTTGCACAAACTTGATATTTAACTATAACTTATTTGATCATCTAACAGATCTATTAGTTAAAAATCTAAATAAAAATTCCGCTATATACTCGGCTGTGGACTGACAGCAGGTCACATATTGAGAAAAATTCTAGTTTAATCTACACCAAGAGAAACGTGAACACCGCCACAGATGTTCACAGGCAGTGAAGAACTGAAAGTCATGACCCAGTGTGGCTGCTCAGACCACACCGTTCCTTGGTCCCTTAACTCGTGAGGAACTTGAGTGTCAAATCAGGAACACTGTTGACTCAGAGGAGACGGGTAGTGACGCTGTGCTGTCACCTTGGTGCCAAAGCCGCACTCAGACCCCAACAACTGCACACGGCTCACTTGGGAAGCCAGGTCTGCTCCATCTATGCCACTGCCTCTGTGAGCATGGAGCTGTCTATGCCATCACCAGCAAGGCCTCCAGAAGGTTAAACAGAGTGCCCAGCTCGCTGGCTCCAAAGTCCTGGGACGAGGCCAGGTGTCTGGGCCCAGAGGGACATTTATCACAGCACAACTGATGTGGCCTACTTGGACAACAGCAAGATTTGCAAGTTGATTCGGGGCATAGCAAGTTCGAATGAGGCAATCACAAGCTGTGTAGGCATAACGCATGTGTTACACACGCCTGAAGCTACTACTCCTCGATCTGCAGCCATGGGGTGCTGCTGGGAACAGCTGCTCAGTTACAAAGAAGGTGGTGTCCCCTGGAGCAGACGCTCAGAGCGAGTGCTGACATGGTGGTGCTAATATTGATAGACTCTGCTGCCAGTTGCAAACCACCAAGCATTCACTGAGCACCTACTCTACACCCCGTGGAGCTGGGGACTCCGGGGCAGGGGAAACAGGTGTCTTAAAAACAAGGTGCTTGTCATCCACTACTATGATGTCTAGACCAGCCATTCACTGGGATTCAGTTAGTCAATATTCTCATGTTCAGAGTTTACACGATTTATATTCCAGTCAACAAACACTTTCTAAGTGCCTCCTCTTTGCCGGGTATGCTGCCAGCAGGAGGGAACAGCCTGCCTCAAGGAACGTTAACAGCTGGTGGGGAACCAAAAGAAGGTGTTAACATGATATAAGGAAACTGCATATTTAAGAGGAGAAACCACTGCCATGAGAAAAGTGAGGGGATTAATATTTGACTGTATGCTCTGGGAAGGCTTCACAGAAAGACTAGCCTTACACACTGAAACTTAAAAGACAGGCCCAGGGGACTCTAGGCAGCTCAGGACAGGGGAATGTGAGTCCTGGGCCAGACAGGGAACATGGAAGCATTCCAGGCGGAGGAAAGAGAGGCCTGGAAACGTAGGAGGCGTGCTCTGGAAAGGAAAGCATGAAGTGGTAGGAGCACAGAGTAAGTAAAAAGGGGGCAGGAGTGGGCAGTGGGGAGCAAAGATGGGATGTTTATTTGGAGCTCCTTGGGCTTGATTCTATGGCAACGTAGGCTGACCCACAGGGTGCTGTGAAGTACAGAGGGACCTGGTCAAAAACACACGCAGACAGATAGCACATATCTCTGCCTAAGCTGCAGGTTTCCATCACGAAGAGGATAGCTGTAACCTGGGAAAGGTATCTTTTCACAAATATGTGACTCATAAGGTGTATATAAAGTATACTATATGTATGAAGTCATCAATTATTTTACGTGCAAGAGTGAGCTCCATTAGTGTCAGGCAGAGCCAGCACCACACGACACACAGCACCAGCTGACAGCCAGGCGGACTGACCGGGTCACAACCAATTCTCTCCCATGTACTCACGTCTCAGGTCCAGAAACGCTAACCTTAACCCTTCAGCTCCACGTGTCACTATTTCCTGCTCTTGGTTTTGACTTGACATAAGGACATTCCTTCCAACCGGTCATGTCTCCATGATAATTAAGTGTGAATTCTCACAGAATTTACAATGATTTCCCAATTTTCTCCAAGTTCTCTACTGATTTTTCTCATGACTCAGGATTAAGAAAAACATACCCAAGAAATGTACTGTCAGGAAACCCTTCCAAGAACCATGAGGCCTTCCATGAAGAGAGGCCCAGGTCTACCTTATTCACTGCTGCGCCCTCACACCAAGTGGCGCACTCATAGTCACTCAAATATTTGTTGAAAGATTGAGTAAATAAAGGAATTTCTTCCTGTCTGCTTAAACACGAAAGAATTTTCCATCCACTGGGAGTCTTGTTTTATAACAACGTATTGCTTTGTTGTGTATGTATTTATGCTCTTTGGCTTTCTAGGAGCTCGTGAACAAACTGTGGAACCCTGCCGTCCACCCACGCATCCCTTGGCAATGAGCAGAGCGCCATGGTGTGCTCCTCACAGAAACACGTACAGGACAGAGAACAACATGAAGCCCTACTTTGGGCTTATGATGCCTTAATTAAAGGAGGCTTTGCTGACAGCGAAATATCTTGGGTAAGGTGCCTCAGAGGGTTTTTTTTAATGAGAGAAGGGGAACCGACAGAGGAGGAGGGAGAGGAGAACCAATTTCACCCCCTGACCCCAGGCGTGTTGGTGGGCAGACAACTGTAGGCAAGCGTCCAGATGCAAGTGGAGACCTTGGCAGGGATTCCCTTCGAGCTGTGGTGCCCGTGTACTCCTTGCAAAGTCTTCATCTACCCCAAGCAACACGCAGGACATAAGCCAACTGTGGTCACTGAGATGTGTGACAAGGTGACTTAACACCGCCATCTCAGCGCAAGATCGTTTCATTAAGTCAATAAATGTTCAGCCAATATTTTAAGGAAGACCAGGGCACTAAACTATCTATACTTTCCAAATAAATGTCTCATCACCCACCAAACAGTGACACTTCATTCTAAACAACTTGGGAAACTATTTCGAAAGTCTCCCAAGTCTGCTTTCTAGCTTGAAGAATTTCAGTCTAACTTTTTAGTCTCCCCGCAGCCCTTACCGTTCTGCATCTTAAGTATTAGAAATATAAAGCAGCGTGAGAAAAGGGGAAATATCAATGCAGAGCAGGAATGACGACTCAGCATGGTTAGTATCTCAAAATGCTCCTTGCTGTTTGAAACACATTAGAACTTAAATTTTCAGCAAATAAAGAACTGTGGCCATTTATTACTACCTGCAATACTAACAGGAGTTATTTGGAAGACAGTTAATTCCTGGAGGTGCAATAAAGGCCATGTGAACATTCAGAAAGAAAAGTTGTCAAGCAGAATGATTTATATACAAAGACAAACACTTCAGCAGAGCTTTGAATTCACATGGGGTTGAAAAGAGGGAAACATGATCAGTCTTTTTTTTTTTTTTATAGGTTCATTATTTCATTGAGTTCCAACTATACTCACTGCCTCGGTGTGAACAGGATGCACGGCGAAAACCAAAGCTGTCACGAAAGCAAGTCCGCGACTCCTGAAGACAGCTCTGTCGCAGGTGTACATCAACACGAGAGTCACAAGGCAGTGTAAAATCACATTTACTGCATGAAAGTAGAATGGGTTCATGCCAGTCAGAAAGACGTTTAGTCTGTAAAACAAAAAAAGATAAGAACAAAAGCTGAATTAGCTATGAACAGAACGTAAGCACAAGGGAAACAGAAGTAGCCTACTGGTTTAGAAGAGAAGTTCTTCAACTGATTATTTTTAAATGACTGCCAACATTGGGTTACTCCCTATGTATTTTCTCCTGTCTCAGAATTTTCCTATCTGCAGAAATCACTGCAAATGCAACACAATATTATTTCAGAAAGCGCTGTGGTCTGAGAAGGCAGGCAAACGGGTGCTGAATGTGTTTCTCCCTCTCTTCGTGGCTGAACACCCCACATACTCTTGGCTTTCTCTGCTAGATCTTCCCGAGCAGCTGTGCTCAAGGGCAAGTCCACGGTGCTACAGGTCACAGCCACAGCCACTGGAGATGGGGAAGAAACCACGAGCCTGGGTAATAGTCACAGTTTGGACAAACCAGGCGTGAACGTGTGCTCATACCCGCGGTGCCACCAGGAACCTAACTTCCAGACTCGGTCCCGGAATCATGGTTAATTACCACCTCACAGGGATCCTCAGGGCACCTACGTGCTATGACAGCTGCAGCTGAAGTTACAAGGACAAACAGAAGCATAACATTTCAGGATCTGTATTTATATGTTTTCTAACATAAACTCCTATGGCTCTCAAAATCCGAATTCTAAGATTATGAGCAAGAAACTAAAAAGAGCCACAGAGAGAAAGAAAATGTATTGCTGAACATCTCTTAAAATACTTTCCTGAGACAGAAATTCAGAACAGAGATACTTCTGAAGTTTGCCCTAAATTTTGTCCTAAATTTTCTAACAGGACATAATGTTCCCAGTGGAATCTGTGGGATTACAGAAAAAATAGTTGCTGTAGGTATGGTTCTTTCGGGCAGCATTTACACCCGAAGTGGTACTGCCCGTCGTGGTCTGTGCCCCGGCCCATTTTACCAAAACATTAATCCCATGTCTTCATTCTCATGCCTTTGATCTGCTTGTTATAGAAATGCCTCCTCTTTGCCAAAACAATTGAGAGTGTAAAAGGCAACTTCGGCGACAGCATATGCATTTTCTAAATATTTGGCTTGATTCATACACAGCTTTCACCTACAGAATTTTAAACGTCTCAAGCTTTATTTGGACACATGAATCTAAATGTCATAGTTACTAACTCACTCTGTTTCAATTCCCACAGAAGGGATCATGGTCCTAAATCAGCCTAGAAAAATGAATTGCTGTGCAGCGTCCAACATCAGGGTTCCAGTGCCACATTCAAGCCAGCTGTGTGTCAGCGGAGCCACGTACTCGCCCACACCCACCCTGGAGCCCTTAAGGCGGGAGCCTGGTGTGAAACTGCCCATCCGGAGGGAAGGAGGCACAGGCAGTGACCTAGGGGACTGGCCTGTCCGGCTGAAGGACGAGCACCCCGTTCGCATATAAGAGGACCACGTGGTGAGAGCCAGCTCAGGACAGTGCTGCTGGGGGAAGGGCAGGACCAAGCCCCTGTCCCTGGAGAACCTGGCGACTGTCCCTGAGCGCCGTCCCATCCCGAGGTGATTTCACACTTCATTATTCTGAGTTTTCCAGACCAACTAATCTATTCAGCTGAAATGCATTCAGACCCATGATGGAGAAAAGCAACCACTCACATTCAGCTGGTAGGTGGCCAACTCGCAAGGTCTCAGGTTATCAATATGCATCATATGCTTTAAAAAGCACATACCTTTGACCAAAAATTCCATTTCTAGGAAATTTCCATGAGAAAATAACTGGAGAAGGGCTCATAGATACGTAAACATGTATGTGATACTGTGATGTAATAAGAAATACCTATTTGGGTCTCTGTCCTGACTCCTGGTCAGAGATCCCAAAACCTTTGCAAGTTCCTAAGTGATAAAGATCAGCAGGAACCTCTTTTGTTCCGATGGTTGGTCTCTGCCCCTAGTTCCTGGCACAAAGCTCCTAGTCCCTTGTCACTTCTTACATGACAAGGGCACCAGGAGCATCTTCCGTTAGAACAACTGGTCTTTAGCCCTGTTCCTGACACAGCTCCTAAATCCCTCGGAATTCCCTCGGTGAATGAGGCCTTGTATTCTAATGAGGTGACCCTTGTGGGCTTCTGGATAATCTTCTGGGCGGGGGGCAGGGCACCAGAAAGACCAAGCCACGATGCGGAACTTGGCAATTTCAGCCTTACCCCCATCCTCCAGGGAGGAAAGAGGGGCTGAAGATGAGTTAACGCATCGCGCCTACTTGATGAAGCCTCCATAAAAACCCCTCAGCTATGGGGTTCAAAGAGCTCAGGACCTTTGAGACCTCACTTTATGCATCCCTTCATCTGGCTGTTCTTCTGTATCCTTCATCATACCCCTCACTATAGAATCAAGCAGTAAATGTAAGTGTTTCTCTGCATTCTGTGAGCTATTGTAGCAAACACCTGAACCTGAGAAGGGAGGAGAGAAAACCCCTCATTTGCACCAACGTGGACAGGAGTGTGGGTCATGCAGGGACCCTCTATGGGGAACAGGTAGGTGAAGCACAGACAGTCTTAGGGATCTGATATATTAACTCCAGAAAGACAGTGTCAGAATTAGATTGAGCTGTAAGACACCCAGCTAGTGTAGGACTCTGAGAATTGGTCAGTGTGTTAAAAACCTACACATCTGGTGTCAGAAGTATTGTGTCAGGAGAGGAAGAAACGAAACTTTTCTTTTCAATATACAAGGATGCATCTCACTGTTGTAATTATAAAAATGGCAATAGAGAGCTTGCGACAGGTAATTGTCCTGATGTATTGGACTATTCCCACAGACATTACACTTCAGATTATAACTTTGTATTACAAATGATACCACTGTTCTTAAAAAAGAGGACAGAAGACTTATTTTTTCCAAAGTATTCGTTATTCAACTATTTGAAAACTAAAAAGCATCATTAAAGACGGTGTTATTACTCTACTACCACTTTTATTGAGATACTGTCCCCTTGCAAGAGATACGAAATCTGAAGTCCACATGTATCCTACCTGGAAATGCAGACACTGCCCATGTAGTTGATTACTTCTGGAAATTGGTTAGAACAGAATGGCTGGTGTTTTAAGGGAATTCTATTAGAAACCACAATATAAAAATTCACTACTAAATGGGGAATGACTGCAGCAATAAGGGAGGGGGGGGGGTAAAAGCCCCTCACAGGGTACCTGACACTGGCAAATCTAAGTTGTGAGAAATCACCAAGGACCTAAAGTTAGGAGGTTCCTAAATGTCTAAAATGATGGAATGAACGATCCAAACTATAAAGTGAGGTTGAGATGAAATGATAACGAGAATTTAGAACTTACCCTATTTGTGAGCACTGGGAAAAAAAATCTGACTCTGGGAGCCAACATGGATTCACAAAAAGGGGGTTTAACTGATGAACCTCACATTTTAATAGGAGAAAAGACCCAACAGACACGTAACATCTTTATTTTAACAAAGGCATTGATAAAAGCTCCCAGAATCTTGCAAGCAAGATAGAGTAAGATGGACTTGTAGCAAACACAAAGAGTGGTGAAGAACAATCAATGTCTCCTTCGGTGGAGACCTCCAGCGTACGTCACAGGATTCTGATACTATCTCTGGTGTTCCCAATATTTCTATCAGAGACTTAAATCAATCTATAGTGTATGGTAATCAAGCTGGCAGAAGGCCCTGTATCTGAGAAAGACTGTTACTGTCCTGGGACACTGTTGAACATAACCAAAGAGTTTAAATGCCTGAAGTTGTTAGTTTATTCTAACAGAATCAGGTAGACTGTGGGTAAGAGTAAAGACCCACAATTGGACATAAAAGAGAACAGAACACTTGCAATTCAGATTAAAACTGTACCTGTGGCATTGTCCAAGGGCTGCTTATTTAGCTTAAACTCAAAGAATTACTGTGCCTGGATATCAAAACAGACCAACAGACAGACAGATGGCATTAGGTCAAGCTATGCTCCATTTCAATTCACCTCAACAGATATTTATTGAGCACCTACTACACATGTCAGGCATGATGTCAGGCTCAGAGATACAAAAAGACATAGCATCTGCTACCAGAGAGTTAACAGCAAAGTGGGAGACGGAGAGGCACTTAAACAGAAAATTAATAGTTAGTGAAAGAATTCTAGCAATGGGAGAAGCTATCAGGTGCAGAAATAGGGAAAAGGGAGATAGTCTTCTGCACACAGGGGAGGGAAACTAGGCAGCATCCTTCAGGGTGCTACTGTAGCACCTTCACAGGAGACCCCCAGGAGGCTAAGGGTACAGGGGAGTCTTAGGGTGATGTCTTGGAAAGGTAGGTTTGAGGAGCGGGGGATCCTTAGCCTAGGGAAAGATGACAGAAATGATACCAAGTTCTCCAGGAGAAAGCACCTGCCATATGATGACGATATCCCCAGTGTCTAACGTGATTCATGGTTGTCACACAATAAATGGATCAATGGACGGACTTGAATGAGGGAATGAATGAAATATGAAGCAATGCACTTACTCAAAGCAGCTCGCAGAGGTGAAACCAAGAGCCAACAGCAATGCTGCCAACAGACTGCCCAAGGGCCAAGTTCAGCCTGTGAATTGTTTCATTTCACCTGCATACCTTTTTTTTTTAATTTACCAACATTTGTAAAACAGCTGACTTCATACAAAAATGTCCAGCTGGCAACCCCTTATCACCCGTGTCTGCTCTCTCAGCCAGCGGGCCCTCCGGCGCTTCCGGGGTGCGTTTCCACAGCCCGACACCAAACATGCAGGAGAGTCCCCCATCTTCTTCCTCTGCTGCTGTTCGTTGTTCTTCCTCCCCACCTCTTGCCGTCATTACCACTCTCAAATGCTTGTAAGTGGTTTCCATAGTCTTCTCAGGTCATTCAACCAATAAATCACCACATCTGGTTCTCCACATTTTTCTTCTAAGGCGAATCCCTCTGGCCCATAGTCATTTTGGTTGCACTTCTGCATTCCCTCCAGTAGCAGGAATAAATCAGCAAATCTTCATCA